ACCTTGATGTTGATGCGACAGCATACATGGATGACGTTCTAGTATACACAAATGGTAGTGAGGCCGATCATTGGAGAACGGTTCAAAGTATCTTGGGAAAGCTAGAGAAGGCTGGTTTGTACTTGGACATTGATAAATGCAATTTTCTATGTCGAGAGGTGAAGTATCTAGGATACATTGTGAGAGCTGGAGACTCGGTGACCGTAGATCCTGACAAGGTCAAGAGCATCATAGAATGGAAGCCACCTACGTCGGTTAAAGGAGTTCGATCGTTTCTCGGCTTTGCAAATTTCTATCGATGCTTTGTTGATAGATTTTCGGAGGTAACTGCACCACTGACCAGATTGACGAAGAAGGATTCAATTTGGAGATGGGGACCTGAGGAGAACGAGGCGTTCGAACGACTAAAGCAAATTTTTTCAACTGAGCCGGTGCTAGCGCAATGGGATCCCGAGCGAGACACAGTGGTGGAAGCCGATTGTTCTGGGTATGCATTGGGTGGATGTTTGTCTCAAGCTGATAAGCAAGGCCGGCTGAGGCCGGTGGCTTACTACTACAAGCGACTGAGCGGAGCGGAAGCAAATTATCCGATACACGACAAAGAGATGCTGGCCATAATCACGTGCCTGCAAGAGTGGAAAGCTGAACTGCGTTCTGTTGCAAAGCCATTCACGATTTTGAGCGACCACAAGAACTTAGACTATTTCATGACCAAGCGACTACTCAATGAACGGCAGGCCAGGTATTACGATGTATTACATCAGTTCAATTTCACTCTGAAATGGCGACCTGGCAATGCTTGCGAACGGCCGGATGCTCTCTCAAGACGCGATCAGGATCAGCCCCATGGCCTTCATGACGAACGAACCACGGGTAGAATTATGCAACTGTTACCAACTGTCAAAGCTTTACCTGTCGATGCACAACTCGGTACAGCAGACCCAGCAGCGACAGCGAGAATATCTGACGACGATGAGATTCAAACATTATGGAATCAAGGAGTCATTTACGATAATGATTGGCGACGAGCGCGAGATGCTGTCCAGCACGGAGAGAGAAGTTTCCCACCAAATATCGCTCAGAAATTAACCGCTAACATTGCAGAGTGTACGGTTGCCGCAGATAGCGTTCTTCGTGGAAGGGAAAATCGAATTTGGGTTCCCGATTATGAGCCACTCCGAACGGCGATAATGCAGCGGACACACGATAGCTACCTAGCAGGTCACCCGGGCAAAGATACAATGATTGGCATACTTTTAAGGCGATGGTTCTGGCCAAAGATGAGGGAATCGGTCCGTCGTTTTATACGGAATTGTGATGTCTGTGGTCGTACGACAGTATGGCGAGAGGCGAAGGCTGGGTTTCTTCGATCACTGCCAATTCCTGACCGAATAGGAAGCGAGCTGACAATTGATTTTATTACTGATATGCCACCTTCTCAAGATTGTACAAATATAATGGTTATAACAGATCGGCTATCTAAAGACGTATTTCTATTTGGTACAAAGACAATGGAGGCTGCACCAAGCGCTAAAGTTTTTGTCGACCGATATTATCGTTACTTTGGCTTTCCACGTTATTTGACAAGTGATAGAGGCAGTGACTGGATGGGAACCTTTTGGCAAACTTTCTGCAAGCTAACAGGAATAACTCAACGCTTGACCACGGCGTACCATCCTCAGTCAAACGCAAGTGAAAGAGCAAATCAGGAATTGTACAAGTACCTGCGAGCGTTTACCTGCTACTCACAAGATAATTGGATGGAACTGTTGCCTGTAGCCCAACTGGCACCAAATTCAAGACCAAGTTCAGCGATTGGAGGACTAAGCCCATTCTTCTTACGGCACGGATACGATTTGGACCCTCTGGCAGAGCCTACGCCTATCTTAGAGAATGGTTCCCGACACCCGGGACGACTATCTGCTCAGGATTATGTTAAAAGGTTAAAGGACGCGCAAGACTATGCACAGGCAGCAATGGCTTCAGCTCAACAACGAAACGAGGGTAATGCAAATCGCTTCCGAAGACAACCAGATCAGTATAAAGTTGGCGACAAGGTTTGGTTGGATCTCCGAAACGTGAAAACACCACAGCTCTCCAAGAAGCTAGCCTGGATACATGCAAAGTACGATGTGACCGCGGTCCCAGATCCTTTGACTGTGGAGTTGAACGTTCCTGGAAACATCCACAACCGCTTTCATGTCGAATTGGTGAAGCGGGCGGGTGCGGATCCCTTTCCGAGTCAGCGGCGGGACGATGCACAAAATCCCGCTATCCTTGACGATCTGGGCGAGCAAGAATTTGGAGTGGACTCAATAATACGAGCGAGAACAGTGAGACGTGGCCGTGGTAGTTTCAGGCAAGCCCTAGTTAAGTGGACTGGCTGGGCAGAACCAACTTGGGAGCCCATTGAATACGTGGCAGACACCGAAGCTTTAAAAATATTTGAGGAGACCTATGGTCCCATAACTTCAAATGATGGCCCTTCGGAAATATACTCAGGTAGATACGTTGGCCAGGCCGAGCCTCATGTCCAGAAAACGCGGAGGGAACGACGAAAAAAAAAAGCATTAAATAAGAAAATTAAATAAAATATTTACTCATTGAGGAAGAGAAGGGGGATTGTAACGGCTGTTAAGCCTAATTATCCCTGTAGCCTACGCTAGCTAGCGCAGGCAATGAGATCAATGGTGTAATCCAGAATCTTCTTGGAAGTTGTCGAAGAATCCAAACAATTCTGGTCATGGAGGGAATCCTATGGAAGGAGGAGTATTCTGGATTATATATATTTGTAGTCACTAGCTGTTAGAATTCTCTCTCTAGAGAATTATAATTAATATACTGTACCTACAAGATTGCCCATGCATTTTGTTATGAAACCGTGACACTAGGGCGACGTGCATTAGGATATCAACTAGCTTCACGGTCCGGTCACGGCGATTACGCGGATTACCATCGACGGTTTCAGCATGAAAACGCCATTCTAACCTGCACGTGCGGAGAAGAGAAGTCCCCTAACCATTCTTTCTATTGCCGCCTCGGGCAATATCAAGCTCAGCTCCACAGGGCACAGAACTCGAATCCCAGCGTATCCTGGACACTTGCTTCGGCGGAGGGAGTTGATGCATTCAATAATTGGGTGCGTGTCACAGATTTCTTCGAAAGGGCACAACGAACAGTCTGATTCGAACGAAATCACGATCTGATGTAAACAATCTTCTCCTTTTATTTTATTTTCTTTGTTAAATCTTTTCTTGATTTAGTAGTGACTGCATAGCATGAGATTCGTTGGACGACCTTCATGTACACTATAATCTTCCAGCGCAGGATGATAAGATCCTGGCTATCATTTGCTTTGTTGGGTCTGTGTCGGCGCCAACCTGTCAGGTAGTTTAATTTAGACTGGGCTCACCGGTACGTGAGGAACTCACGTGCTGTGCGCGGGGACGACGTTAAATATGATAAATAAATAAATTTCGGGATCTCGCAAGATCCTGGCCTTCAAGGAACCGTACCAGATACACTGAGCCAGGAAGGGTCTCTGTACGCTGGTGCCAAGGGCATTCAGGAATCCCTGAAAATGAAAAGGCAGATGCTCTCGCAAAAGCGGCCTGTACTATAACCGCCCCCAACCTGGCCCCTTCCATTGCCAGAGCAAGGAGAATTGTCATTCTTCGCTACGAGGCCTCTGCGTCGGAATACTGGTCGCGAAATGCCCCTGACCGGTATAGAGCGCTCAGAATCGGGCCAAGCTCCCGCATCACCCCAGAGCTCGCTAGTATGGATCGTCAGTCCCTCGGCCTTCTTCTCGCTGCGCGGTCGGGCCATGGTGATTTTGCAGCATACCACCGTCGTTTCGCACACAACAGCGCACCTTTAACATGCTCCTGTGGACATGATAAATCGCCGGAGCATTTCATGACCTGTCAACATGGCCTACTACAGGCGCGGCTTCGTGGAGCCAATCGCCCCCGTCCCCCAGACGCTCGCTGGATTTTTAGCTCACCAGAAGGAGCTATCTTGTTCCGAGACTGGCTTAAGTCCACTCTATTTTTTCGAAGAGTTTCAAAGGTACCATTAATGGGGGAAGCTCTGTTTGCACCTACATTTGTAGGACAGTCTTGATTACTTAGACATCAACGCTCTCTAAATACGAATATCCACATGTAGTTTAAGTTCCGCTTTTAATTATATAATTTATATCAATTTAAGAAGAGTCTCACTGATCTGGCGACTATGCGGACCGGAAGCAGTGGGGTCTTTATCGGGTTTTTGTTATAGGAATGCCGGTGCGTCGGGTAGCCCTTTATGGGCTGAGCTAACCGGCATGGGGCTTTAAAGCACTGTTTTGTTTTTGTTTTATTTATTTTGTCCTAAGCTAAAGCTATGTTTTCCACATTGAGTCAAGGACAGGCGGAGCCGGCAGGGTTCCCTGTAATCTTTCCTACAGCCTAACTCGTTCCAACCTCGTGAATCGCTACCAAAAGTGCAGCTGATTAAACAGAGACGAAAAATCAAGAAAATCAAAACAACTCCGAAAAAAAACCAGAAGATTCCTCCATGTTGGACCCAGTCAATGTGCTCCTCACACATTCTCTCGTCTGTCACACCTTCCAAATGACAAATTTACTCCTTCTATGCTGAGATTTAAAGCACTGTGTTGTGCGCAGGCACGACGTTAATATAAATAAATAAAAATAAATAAATTTAGTCTCATGCCTAATAATCAAGACAGAAACTACTATTTCCTAGTTTAGTTCTAAATAGGCCATGCGCTTCCCCACACGACTCATTAGGCCAGGTAGAAGTCTAGATTCACCCCATGTAAATCATTCTTACATGGTGACTAAAATTACAGATACAATGACGCGACTATTGAGGTAGAGGAGGAGGAGGTCACGCTTATGGATATCATTGCTGCACAAACCATGCCACAGCAAGTAGATCAGGAGCTCAAGAAGAACGAGGATAAGGAGTTAGCTGAGCACCTGCTCAGCTTCATGGAGCTTGAGCAAGATGCCAACACCATGGAGCTCACGATATACATACGCATGGAAATAAGCCTCCATCAGCAGGCAGAACTTAATGGAAGGCAAGGGACATTACATAGCTAGTTTAAACAATATATGAGACAGGATGATATCACGTTTGATGTGTGAGGAAGCGTGAAGATCTCACTGAGTGAAGTGAGTAATTAAATATGTTTGTTCGTAGAATCATGTGACTATGCTCTTCACAAAAATGTTATGACGATACAAAATAGCGCCATGGAATCACATCGTTACAACGAGTGTGCACCGCCGGCAAAGACGAATTCTTCATCTTCCAGTGGTGCCAGTGTCATCGCTCAGTGTTCTCTGCATATCTGGGATAGCCAAGAAGAATCGCATCCGAATCGAAGTCGAAAGCAAACACATGCATATCTCCATTTGACGACTTCTCAACCATGCAGCACTCACCATTATCTTCTGAGTCCTCAACCCCGATCTAACCACATATCATCTCGGCTCGCCGACCGATAAAGGCCTCGCCCCAATTGCAAACAGGAGCTTGCCTCAATCATCACCGGCCATCACTCACTACAAATTTACGACGCTTCGTATACCCACAAGGAGGAAGTTAAGTCACAGTATACAAAGTTGGGGTCTTGGTTTATGGGGGACTGTTGCTCTAATGGGACATACAACTTGAGGAAGAACAGGCGGCTGAGATGTGGGGCGAGAGGGGGAACAGGACTCTGGGGGCCATGCTGAGACTGATATTTTCGAGAAGTTTTCAACTTTGGATTTTTTGTGGGCGCCAAGACCAAGATTTCGGCTAATTAGCCGGGAGGACTTCTTTTGTCGATGAGTCAACGGCACTCCCCAGCGCCCTGGACAGCACGAAAGAAGTTGGGCTAAGCTACCGTACAGCAATCACACTCTATCAAGACTTTTCTGACATTTCAGCACGACCTTCGGGAAGGAGTTGGAAGGAGGCTAGAAAGGCAGAGGATGAATCCTCCGAGGTACACACAAGTCTGCAGCGCCCAGCTGGCCGGCCTCTTCGAACGCTTCGATAGTATCACTATGTCTTCGGATTTAGCCCTAATGTCGGTATTCGAAGAGCCACGCACCCAGTGGTTTTTGCGATTTTTCCCGGCTGCCATACACCCGCAAATAGCCGTCGTTTCGTTGGCTGGAGAGGGGAGATAATAGAGGGCAAATGACTCCTCTAAGTGTATGATCGAATGAGGACTTGTGAGGGGTGGAACTGTTTGAGTGGAGCTGTGTAAGAGGTGTGGGAGGCATAGGTATCCTTGGTCTGTAGGCAGGGAGGACCTGCATGTGCTACATAGTCATAGACTCAGACAGGACAATAAATTGAATTAATAAATAAACGAGTGCGCACCGATGCAAAAATTAAAAAACTTCAAAAAACGAGTGCGCACCGTGTAAAAATAAATGCATCAGCATTTAGGGGCCCGTCATTTTCTGTGAAGCATAGAACGTACTATCTAGAGCCTTACTTTACAAGTATGTCAGCGAGTAGCGAGCTCATCCTCTGAGTCACTTTCGGCTTATGTAGTTGAGGATGTATATATACTGTTACGGGAATACTCCCCTGTGTGTGTGCAGTTTGGGCCAGTAAGGTAGGGATGGAATTCAGTCAGTTTTAGAGACTACCAATGGTGTGGAATGGAAACGGTTGCTAAGCAACGGAGACTGTTATGATCAGCGCCATTAATTAAATTCCCTTATGTAATTAACAAGATGTAGAAGACCATCCGTCTCTAGATTTCATTATTTGGCTGGTTTTGTTCTGGATTTGCTTCGCCGTATACCAACACCAATTAATCCGGCGACATACGCATGATTTACGAGGGGAGAAGCCGCTGAAGACTGGGAAAGTTTAGGATGAGGTGGGAGGAGGCTGCAGTAGGCCATGCCAGCAAATGAAGTTTCTATAATGTTATTTAGTGGCGTTGGTGAGTTGCGTCGAAAAATTGAGTGCCATTCGCCCATGTTCTGAAGGCAAATGTGTCATCTTTTGAGCCCCAAATCCAACCGATACCTGTAAAGGGTGTCGGGTCAGCTGAGACTGTCCAGGGATGTAGCGGGATATGTGATTTATTTATCATATTTAACGTCGTGCCCGCGCACAGCACGTGAGTTCCTCACGTACCGGTGAGCCCAGTCTAAATTAAACTACCTGACAGGTTGGCGCCGACACAGACCCAACAAAGCAAATGATAGCCAGGATCTTATCATCCTGCGCTGGAAGATTATAGTGTACATGAAGTTTGCCGTCCAACGAGTCTTATGCTATGCAGTCACTACTAAATCAAGAAAAGATTTAACAAAGAAAATAAAATAAAAGGAGAAGATTGTTTACATCAGATCGTGATTTCGTTCGAATCAGACTGTTCGTTGTGCCCTTTCGAAGAAATCTGTGACACGCACCCAATTATTGAATGCATCAACTCCCTCCGCCGAAGCAAGTGTCCAGGATACGCTGGGATTCGAGTTCTGTGCCCTGTGGAGCTGAGCTTGATATTGCCCGAGGCGGCAATAGAAAGAATGGTTAGGGGACTTCTCTTCTCCGCACGTGCAGGTTAGAATGGCGTTTTCATGCTGAAACCGTCGATGGTAATCCGCGTAATCGCCGTGACCGGACCGTGAAGCTAGTTGATATCCTAATGCACGTCGCCCTAGACGGGCGAGCTCAACGGTGATTTTCGTATTAGGGCCAATTCCTAGTTCTTTGTATCTAGAAGGGGCACTTTCTGCCCAATATAGTGCGACTGAAGCCTCGTAATGGGCTTTGACTTCTCTCCTTGCCCTCGCAATGGAGAGTTCTGAGTGTGGAGCTGGAGCTGCACAGGCAGCTTTGGCAAGCGCGTCGGCTGCTTCGTTCCCGAGAATACCTGCGTGGCCTGGGCACCATCGGATAGCCACTTTCCCAGGCCTCGTATTTTGACCGCGTGATCTTCTTTTCCAGTTCATTGCGAGCTTGCGAAAGGTTAGTGTTTTTGCCGAGCTGGACGCTGTGGGCGTATCTAGGAGCAGACGGATGGCAGCCTCCTGGTTGTCAAGGCAGACAGTGACGTTAGAGGCATAATAGGCCAGTGGGTTGCGAAGAGCTGCGGCAAGAACTTCAGTAGCTCCGGCAATTTTTGCATCATACACTTCTGCCGAATTTCCGAGCGGGAGTGATCCTCGTCCAATCTCTTGCGTAAGACCTCGGTAGATGACATAGCCCGCACCTGCTCGGTCGTCTATTAGAGCTCCGTCTGAGAATACGAACAAGTCAAGAGTAGGTCGTGTAGCCTGCCACTGTTTGAAGGGATTTGATCCGAGGAGTCTACCTACTGCACCAATTTCGATGAGCTTTTCTTCACGGGATGACGACCACGGTGGAGGGATGATGTCCTCGGAAAGTTCTGGCGAGATTATTTGACGGATCCAGCACATGCGGCTAGTGTTCCAACCCCTACGAAGAGGATGATAGGGGTCAGCTGCAGCAATTCGAAACGCTAGACGGCTGTGAATTCTGTTAAGCCACGTCTGAGCTGGGCCCCAGCCAGCTTCACGTAGAAGTGCTGCTATTGGTGTGGTACGGTAAACTGGGAGAGCTGCCCGTGCCGCGTCGTTCATCCTATGTTGGACTTGCAAGATAATTTTTTGGGAAGTCTGTTTAGAGTACCAAGTCTCGGCCCCGTAGAAAAGGGTCGCAAAGGCAGCACCTTGTAGAGCTTGTCTTAGAAAAAGAGGGCTTATTCCTCGAGCCGTGGTGAAGAGTCTTTTCATATGACTCGTGATAGCTAGAGACTTCCAGCAAGCCTGGATAGTATGATATTGGAACCGAAGAGCACAATCGAAAAATATTCCAAGCCAGCGTGTGTGGTCATTCGGTGTTATAGTTCTCCCTCTAATACTAAGAGTAGGCTCTAGTGGTGAGCCTCGCTTCCGGTGAAAGTATTACAGCTCAGTCTTAGGAAGTTCGAAACTAATTCCGTTAATAAATCCCCATGCTATGGTGCTGTCTAATTTCTTCTGGAGTTTGCGTGCACACTCGACAAGGGAGGGCGCAGACGCAAAGAGGGCAATATCATCTGCATAGCCAAAGCGGCCAGTGGAAAGACGTAGTGCCTCTTCCATAGCAAGAAGAAAAATAATTGGGGATACAGGTGAGCCCTGTGGGATACCACAGTGAGTTTGTAAGGGCGGAGAGAATGTATCTTCAATAGAGATTGTGGATTCCCGCTCTTCCAAGGCATGAGACTAAATATAATCAGGCTTCCGCCAATGACTTTGGTCACATCATGTGAATGTTATTCGATATAACAACAAAATGGCGACGGTGTTGTGACTATGAGCTTACGGTAGTCAATGAGCTGAAGCTCCTATTTAACATTATGCGCAGGACGTGATAACCTTGTGGTCTGATTGTTGTGTATTGAAGACTATATTGATCTAATGGGGAGAAGATTTTACTATGTACAAGATTGAGGTGTCTGTGCACTGAATATCACCCAACACAACTACCACTCTAATCTAATGTGTTCCCTATAGACCACACATTATAACAGACGGCGACATCGATATATCGAATATCGTTATAACGAGTCCGCACTGTAGCTATACTAGTACCGAATTACGTTCCATGTTAATGCGACTCTTCGTTGCCAAGTTGCGCCAATTTCAACAGATATTAGCGGTTGAGGGAAGGGTGAAAGTCCCTAGCACAAGCGTCTCGAGTGATATCAGCGAATGCACCCACTGCATGAGTGGTCCAAATGTCAAACTGAGATGTCGTAATATGTAGTCATCAGAGACGAGCTAGTCTTCTCTGTGTCGTGCTCTCTGAGTGCTGGGCTTGTGCCCTTCGCAAATGAATATCCATTCCATTCACACCCTGAAGTCCGCCATTTCTCCTGACTCGCCCGACAGCAACGCACCACGGCCCATCTTGCATTTAGCCGACTATGTGACAAATCTTGAAGAAAACTTCGTCTTCGTTGTTGGTGTTTCCGGACGAAGACGATAAAAATTGCTGATGGATAGCAGCTCTTTAGGCAACACAAATAACACCACTCTACACGGGATCTAGATCTTTCTACATTTAGACAACA